ATGGCCCAGTATGCTATGCTCTGGTACGCTATGGCCCAGTATGCTATGCTCTGGTACGCTATGGCCCAGTATGCTATGCTCTGGTACGCTATGGCCCAGTATGCTATGGTCCAGTATGCAGAGTACCTCCCCTGTCTGCTGCCATGTTCCTGATCCCATTCTCTGCTAGCCCTGGTCTCCCTTCTGTTTTATCCCTCAAGATCCTTTAGTTTTGGTTCCTTGGTTTTTGTGCAGTCCCAGATTGTGAATAAACCTCCCGCAATCCCACCCACGGCTGTGTCTGGTTCCTCCCTCCACTGTGTCATGACATTTGTTTTTCTTTTTACATAAAGGGTCGATGGTTAGTGTAAAGGAAGCTGAGACCCTCCCAGTGAATTATAAAATCAGCCTTAATACCTTAACAGATCTTCCTTAATGTAAACATATGTCACACTGTGATAGCATGAGGACGGGCCACACAGGGTCTGCCTGCTCAGGACTCTGTGTGAAGGATGAACCCTCTGAACTTCTGGATCTGATGTGAACCCAATGGAGACTCTCCTACCTCCCCCTCACAGAAGGTGGCGCATGCAGACTCACCGACACGACCCCCTGCCCGACTCCCTTGGCTGTGATGTTGAGATCTTGGTTATAGTTGACCTGCAGACACAGAGTTTGCCTTACTATGCACATCAGGGGACTTAAAGCCAGCGTGACGTGGTCAGCTATCTGGACAGCATCCTTCTGGGAATGTCCAGGCACTTTCATGCACACGACACTATATGCCAGCTCTATCCCTCAGTTTCCATTAAAATGCTGGCAGTATATACAAGCTTTTTCTTGAGCTCTGTACCACCTGTGTCTCACCTTCAGGGAGCGGGTTAAGTAGGCGTTGCCCTTGTTAAAAGTCCATGCGAGGGGTTTACTGCGACCTGCAACGCTGATATCCACCTGAAGGTTGATGTCCTTCACATCAGTCACATCTGTGTAGTACTGAGCCACAGCCTGGAAGACCATGATAGTGGCCTGGGGACGACACAAAAGGACGACAGTCCATTGGCTGCATCTAGTACATAGATAAACTGAACTTATTATGTTTGACGTCATCGATTTGGACACAAGTGTGGTTCTAATGATTCGGCGAGGCCTGCTGGTCTATACCTGGGTGGAGCCATGCCCTCCGCCATAGAACTGCTGCTTGTTCAGCCAGTCCACCACGGGCCCGGCCTTATCAAAGTCCTTGGCCCTGACCAGAGCCAGCAGCGCATATGCAGTGGCTTCCAGGGTGAAGAGATGGCTCCCAATGACCGGCCAGTGGGTTTTATCTACAGGGCCCCATAAAAGATCACTGTGTAATTAGGCTAAACACGGAACTTATCTAACCTGACACTCAATTAGCATAAGGAATTTTAGTACAGGCAGCGTCTAGGTTATGAATGAAATCCGTTCCCCAAGTCAGTCTTTCAGTCGAATTTGTAGGTAAGACAGAAAAATAACAGTACAGTGCATAATAATTATACAGTAATAATAATGGTAACTACACACGGAACAGTACTGTACCTCATGCTGACACACTGCTGTTGCATATAGGACTGGCCAGTTATCCACCTCTTACTAATCCACTCCTTTGCGATATTCATAATATTTACATTACATTTGATGTTTACATTGCACTATGTTTACATATTTTTTGTCAGAATTGATTGTACTTGTTTCATATTGACTTGCAATTTAATTGTATTCTGCTTTCTGCATCTTAATCATTTGTTTAATTCGTGGTTACCGGTACCTGGAAGGAGATGCAGAGTAAGATTTTCTGGCATTTACTGTGCATATGACAATATTATTTAACATGTGACTTGAATGTTTTGATGTCCTCTACTAAATGTTCCTCTTTCTTGTGATGCTCCAGTTCAGCTGTACCTCTGGATGCAAACTTCATCAAGGTGTCCACCTGGTGCTTGCCCTCGTTGGCCAGGGCGTAGGAGGTCATGGCCACAGCATAGGGGTTGGTTAGGGTGCCGATTCTGCCGGTCAGGAAGTTCTGGGCTTTCTTGATGCTATCTGGCAGACTCTGGAAAGAGAAACATTGTTTCTGTTTTTTCGCTCAAACAAACATTAAATAATAACAACAGTGCAGGCCTGGCACCGAGTTTCGCCTATTTAGCTAAGCAATGAATGAATGTGACATTCATCCTGGAGAATTCAGCTACCTAACTCTGTGATAAAGAGCAATTCATTGGCACTGTGGCTGCACAATATCACATTGTGATGTACTTGTGATTATATGGTGCATGCTCAGTAATCACCAGGGCTTCAGATGACCAGCAAAACATCTGGCCGGATGCCAGGTTTTCGGTACTATACAGATGTTTATTTACGCAAACATTTTGGTAAGCAGATTAGTCGTACACGTAAAATATTAATGAAATGCATATTGTGATGCCTATACTGTAAATAAGTAATCTATATGTATTTGGTGTATCCTTATATTTATTAACTTTGGTTAATGTCATAATAATGTCATGGAAGTGATAAGCACTGAAGTGACGCTGGTGAAAGGAACAGCTCAGCAGCCAGATCATCTAAGTAAATGTCCGTATAGTAGTGAAAAGCTGCCGGCTGTCCAAATGTTCTGCCTGTCATCTAAAGCCCTGGTGATTATAGGGCCTGCGGCATACATTACGAGTGGTATTGTTCGAGTACATTACGATGTGATATTATAAAGCCGTAACTGGCACCATCTTTTGGTTACATTCAAAGTATGATGTAATGCAGCATGATGTCATACTGTATGATGCAATGCCATATGACAGTTCTGTGTGACATAATGCTGTGTATGACATTATGCCATGTGACGTACACTACAAATTTAGTGTCATTTAGTAGTTAAACAGAAATGTAGAATTTGGTGATTAGTGGTCACAGCACACAGTGCACAACAACAAAGTGTGTTCTCTGCATTTAACCCATATGTGACATAGCAGGGGGCAGTTAATTCAGCACCCGGGGAGCAGTGCTTGGGGGTGGTACCTTGCTGAGGGTACCTCAGTGGTGCCTTGCTGGTCAGGGATTCGAACCAGCAATCTTCCCTAACCATTAAGACACCACTGCCCTCGTTAGTGTTGTAAATGACTATTGTAGCTGGAAATGGCTGATATTTAATGTAATATCTACGTCTGGGTACAGAGGGCCAGCAAACATCAGTATTGTGTTCTGATTGCATGTTTTGTTTGCTTATCCAAGTTAATAATTTTAAAAGGCAAATCTGATCATTAGAAATCCCTTCTGAAATTATGTTAAAGAAGTAATAAAACTGGCCTCCTTTGGATTGAGTATCTGGAGCATCAGCAATTGTGGGTTCGATTAAAGACTCAAAATGGCCAGAAACAAAGAACTTTCTTGAGAAACTCATCAGTCTGTTCTTGTTCTGAGAAGTGATGATTCCATGGGTAATTCCTAAGTGATGCCAAATTTTGAATGGTAGTGTAGTTCCGTGTGACATAATGCTGTGTATGGCGTAATACCGTATCTAACATAATACTGTATGATGCTGTATGACTTCATGGTGTATGAAATAATGCCATGTGATGTATGGGGCTCCGAGAGTCAAGCACTCAGTACATTCTGTGCCACTCCCTCCCTACTGCTGTGTGTCAGTCGATCTCAGTTTCAGATTTCAAAGTCAAGCTAAAAACCTGTTTGTTTGCTCAAACATATAATCTTCCCCATCCAGAATATGTTTCGTCTTTTTTGTCTTATCTTATTTTATTCTATGTAAGCTTCTTTGAGATCCTGTAAAAGCTCCATATACTGTAAGTAAAATGTGTTGTTGTTGATTTTTATTATAATAATAATAATAATAATAATAATAATAATAATAATAATAATAATAATAAATCAAGTAATGTGTTGCTGCATTTTGTCCAAAGAAAGACAAACCTGAGTTACATTCAGACTTCACTTTCTTTCGTGCATAAAAATCTAAAGGAATGTTTCATTTTGTGGACAGTAGAAAGTTATTTTGTGGACAAAATGGATTTCATGAATTAAATAAAGTCATTATTTAGAGTCATAAAAGCCAGTTTTCTGGAAAAATTGATTTGCTGGAATCACACAATGCTTTTGTGGATCCCATGGAAGGAGTAGTATTTTCCAATGACCAGAATATGGAACGCCGGAATTGATTTTGCAGACCCATGTAATGTAATTTAACTTGAATTTAAAGGTAATAAAAATAGAAAAAACTCCTGGGCCTATACTTTTTAAAGAAAGAGAAATCTTCATGCTTTAGTGGACAAAATGTAACTCGAGTTTGTCTTTCTGTGGACAAAATGCAGCAAGGCATTGCTTGATGGCAAAGAATGTATTTTGTGCAGAAAAATGACTGCTTGACCCATAGTGATGTAATGCTGTGTGACGTAATGCCGTGTGATACAAAGCCATGTGACATAATGCTGTATGATGTGATGATGTGGGATGTGATGCAGTATGACTTAATGTTGTATGAAATAATGCCATTTGATGTAATGTCATGTGATGTAATGCCATGTGATGTAATGCCATGTGATATTCAAAAAAGGGGATAGAAGTAATCCAGCAAACTATAGGCCAATCAGTTCAACTAGCATTACTGGAAAAATTATGGAAGCTATAATCCAAGTGAAAATGGTAGATTTCCTGGATGCAAATAACATTCTGAGGGATAGCCAACATGGATTTAGGAGAGGTAGATCCTGTTTAATGAATGAAGTTCTTTATGGAAGCTAGAAGAGAAATTGATCACAAAAAGGTCTATGATGTGATCTACTTAGATTTCCAGAAGGCCTTTGATGTTGTCCCCCACAAACGGCTCTTGCTTAAGGTCAACACTGCAAGGATTTTAGGAACTGTGGCAGCTTGGATCGAAAACTGGTTAACAGACAGCGGGTAGTTATTAGAGGCACAATGTCAGAGTGGGCCTGCGTTCATAGTGGGGTACCACAGGGTTCAATTTTAGGACCACTATAGTTCCTAATTTACATTAATGATATTGACACCAATACATACAGTAAACTGGTTAAATTTGCAGATGACACCAAGGTGGGTGGTGTAGCAGATACTGATCTAGCAGCAGAG